CGATTCTTCTCTGTCCGTGCTCCGACTGAAAGTGTTAATGGCCGTAGGCCCGCTGTATTTATACTCGGAACACGAGTAGGCGTGGCTTCTGCGTGACGTCATGCGCTTTAACACAAAATTAGTGATGATAAGCCTAATGTCTGATTTATGAATGCATAATTGTGTAGTATGCAAAAACTAGAATAGGATAGATTACAATTTATATCTAATATTTAGAGTTACTGTTAATAATAAACCATATTTCTCATTGTTACATCATTAGCGGTGCAAGACGTAGCCTACTATATCTAAGATTCATTGTAAGTAATGCATTTAAACAAATTATTAACTGTAAAATAGTAATATTAACAGGAAAATATCTATAAAATGACTGCTTGACGCGATTGTATATTTATTAGCATAAATAATACCAATAGTCCAGGTGATATGTGAAAATAATGTTCACTTTTTCATAAAAGCATGAAACTTGGTACACTTGTATAGTTTGCGGCCCTAAAAATGTTCAGAAATTGAGCCATCGCAAAAACACCTTGTGGTTGCCATGGCGACCATTTTACTTTCCACCATAACCAAATTATGTATTTTGTGTCATAGCTCCTTAACCAAACATGATAACACAGAAAGGGTGATGTCTACCCCTATGTTTTGATGGTCAAGGATTACAATGATACCATATTCAGCAACATAAACGGTTCAGGTGAAGAGTTAATGGTGAAATCAGCTATGTGAGAAGGAAATCACAGTATTTGAGTATCACAGCATTAATAGTACATATTACGGCTATTCATTTTTTATCTTTGATAATTAACTAATATTTTATTTAACAATACATTAAAAGATTGTTTTCAAGAATACTATCATATATTTCAGAGATATAAAAAAATCATCTCAGGTAAGTGTATTTTTCCTTACCTCTCAGGCAGAGTCAGGTAGGCGGTAGTGTGTTTCCAATACATTCTTGTTCTCTCTCAACAATGCTCTAACATCACACGCAGACAGCAACGCAATCAGGTGACCAGTTAATGGTTAATTCAGTGACTTTATGAGAAGGATTACAATGAAATCTCAGAAGATGCAGAATGAAATTTCAAACATATTTCATGTAAACTTAATTTACAATCACTCTCTGGGGCCAGAGTTGTCTACTGTGTTGTCCACAAGGGGGAAGCCAGAGTCCTGCATGCGGGCGGGTACATGCAGGTGAATCACTAATATTTGATGTAATGGGTGGAATGGGTGGAATAATATTTATGTGTAGAGTGTGGTGCGGGTGTGGGCCGAAAAGTGACAAGCACGGGCAGGTTGCGAGTCCAATAACCAAGACTATTTCGACTCGGTCCAGTACACACTGAGAAATGTAGCCAATCGCGCTGCAACTGATTGACAGCTGTAGTGATTATAATCGATTATATTCGATTATATAGCACTATATAGATGAGAAATGGGTGGGTGAGGGAAGAGAGGATAACACTACAGAGGAAAGATGGAAGGGTGAAAGGGAGCGTAGGTTTTGCCTAAAAGTAACTGGTAGAGGAATTGGTGGCACACAGGTAGTAATATGTAGGTTAAATGTAATAAAGAAATAAGCAGAGATGTCTAGAGGTTTTACCAAATGTTGTCGGTGATACAATTGCATGTGTAAATTAAGTCAAGCTGGTTGCCTGATTTGTTAGTGCTTGTGGTGGTAAGCTATTTTACAATTGTACAAATTAGGGCCCTGAACATTTTCAGAAATGGAGCCATCACAAAAACACCTCAACTGTTCAGGTGAAGAGTTAATGGTGAAATCAGCTATGTGAGAAGGAAATCACAGTATTTGAGTATCACAGCATTAATAGTACATATTACGGCTATTCATTTTTTATCTTTGATAATTAACTAATATTTTATTTAACAATACATTAAAAGATTGTTTTCAAGAATACTATCATATATTTCAGAGATATAAAAAAATCATCTCAGGTAAGTGTATTTTTCCTTACCTCTCAGGCAGAGTCAGGTAGGTGGTAGTGTGTTTCCAATACATTCTTGTTCTCTCTCAACAATGCTCTAACATCACACGCAGACAGCAACGCAATCAGGTGACCAGTTAATGGTTAATTCAGTGACTTTATGAGAAGGATTACAATGAAATCTCAGAAGATGCAGAATGAAATTTCAAACATATTTCATGTAAACTTAATTTACAATGACTCTCTGGGGTCAGAGTTGTCTATCATGTTGTCCACAGGGGGGAAGCCAGAGTCCTGCATGCGGACGGGTACATGCAGGTGAATCGCTAATATTTGATGTAATGGGTGGAATAATATTTATGTGTAGGGTGTGGTGCGGGTACGGGCCGGATGGTGACAAGCACGGGCAGGTTGGGAGTCCAATAACCAAGACTATTTCGACTCGGTCCAGTACACACTGAGAAATGTAGCCAATCGCGCTGCAACTGATTGACAGCTGTAGTGATTATAATCGATTATATTCGATTATATAGCACTATATAGATGAGAAATGGGTGGGTGAGGGAAGAGAGGATAACACTACAGAGGAAAGATGGAAGGGTGAAAGGGAGCATAGGTTTTGCCTAAAAGTAACTGGTAGAGGAATTGGTGACACACAGGTAGTAATATGTAGGTTAAATGTAATAAAGAAATGATCAGAGATGTCTAGAGGTTTTACCAAATGTTGTCTGTGATACAATTGCATGTGTAAATTAAGTCAAGCTGGTTGCCTGATTTGTTGTGGAGATCGAATGAAGCTAGGAGTGGAAAGCTAGAAGCTTTTCTCCAGATGGATTTTCGAAGTCACCAAAGACTATAAGTGGACTGCCATCAACAGAGAATGAAGACAGCAGCCCATACAGCTCCTCTATAAAGGTGCCCAGTTGACCAGGAAGGCTATAAATCATTACAATATGGAGTTTAACAGGAGCTGTTACCATAATAGCATGAAACTCTAAATAATTTTTATTGCATAGAGAAGAGTGGGTTGAGTATTTCCAATTATTAGAAATGAGAAGACCAGTACCCTTCCAACCTGACAGGGGTGTGAGAGAAAGGAAAGTTGTTAGAGAGAACAGCAGGGGTTGCGGTGTCTTCTGGACGAATCCAGGTCTCAGTCAAGCCCAAGATACTAAGAGTAGACTGAGAAGCAATGGCCAGAATGAAGTTTGTTGACAGCTGACTGACAATTCCAGAGACCCACAGAAAATGACAGAGGTGCAGCAGAAGAGGTGCAGATAGGATGCAGCTTAGCAAGATTATGTTGCCGTCTGCGTGTGATGTTAGAGCATTGTTGAGAGAGAACAGGAATGTATTGGAAACATACTACTGCCTACCCGACTCTGCCTGAGAGGTAAGGAAAAATACACTTACTTGAGATGATATGTTTTTATATCTCTGATTGTATTCTTGAAAACAATCTTTTATTGTACTATTGAATAAAGTATTAGTTAAGCTGGTGTGTGGTGGGCGTTCTGGCGCAATGTGGCTGCTGTCACATCATCCAGGTGGATGCTGCACATTGGTGGTGGTTGCGGAAATTCTCCCTTCCATGTAAAGCGCTTTGAGTACCCAGAAAAGCTCTATATAAATGTAACAAATTAATAATTACTTAATTAAAACAATCTTTTATTGTACTATTGAATAAAATATTAGTTAATTATCAAAGAAAGAAAAAATTAAGGGGTTAGTTCACCCAAAAATGAAAATTAGCCTGTGTTTTACTCACCCTCAAAGCATCCTAGGTGTATGTGACTTTCTTCTTTCAGACGAATCCAATCGGAGTTGTATTATAAATTGTCCTGGTCCCTCCAAGCCTTTCAATGGGGGGTAAGCGGGTGTTGGTTGTCAACAGTTCAGAAGACGTGAAATAAAGTGCGCACATCTGTAATAAAACGTCCCTCACACGGCTCCGGGGGGTGAATAAAGGCCTCCTGTAGCGAATCCATGCATTTTTGTAAGATAAATATCCATATTTCAAACGTAATAAACACTTTTTTCTCACTTGTACAGCCAGTCAATTATTATCGCAAAATAAACCCTGACATTGTACACTGTAAAAAAAGTCCCGTAAAAAAAATGGTAAATGACTGGCAGCTACGGCTGCCAAACAAAAACCGTAAAATTAAAGTCAATTATCGTAATTGAATCAGAAAAAATCTGTAAAATAAGGGTTTTACACTGTAAAAAAAAGTCCCGTAAAAAGATGGTAAATGACTGGCAGCTACGGCTGCCAAACAAAAACTGTAAAATGAAAGTAAAATATCATAATTGAAACAAGGAAAAATCTGTCAAATACATTTTTGAAAAAATTTATTTTTTACAGCCGTAGCTGCCAGTCATTTACCATTTAATTTTTTACGAGTTTTTTTTTTTTTTTACAGTGTAAGGGCCTGAGGCATCTTGTATCATCCTGAAGGGATTTATTTTGCTTACCAAATACAATATACTGCTGTTCAAATGTTTTGGGTCAATTAATATATTTATTTAGCAAGGACTTTTCATCATTAAACTGATCAAACTTTCCACAACTGAACAATCTGAATCAGTATTTAGGGTGTTTTCATGTGTAACAGAGACAATAGAGCCATTGAAGCGACAGAAGATGAACCTGGATCACAGCTTCAGGTTGGTGAAGCAGAGGTAAGGCTCATTTGAATCTGCTTGAACAGTTTTCAGCTAGTTCATTGTTTCTGAATTGTCTGTTTTTGCTGTAGCCTGATTCATGGTGGGACACCTTTGCATTTTGGAACTGGGGATCTGAGGATAAACTCGAAGAGTTTAAAAAGAAAAGAGCAGCAAGGCCAAAGCAGGATGGAGAGAAGGTTGGACCACGGAAGATCCGTAACAAAGATATGGCTAAAGGATTACTCAGGGAGAGGGAATAGTCTGTTTTATTCCTAAAAGTGTTATTAAAGGGGTCATATGATGCTGCTAAAAATAGACCAAACAAAGTAGTTTCGCTTTCACAACGAAGCACACAGCGTCTTCACGACATGGCGGCAGCGGCAACAACAATACTACAGCGAGAATAAAAGTTATGCCTTCTTTCTTTGCGTGAAAATTTGGGCGGTGTTAATCAAATCTTCCCACATAGTGAGGTAGATATGTGGGGGCGTGTTCGAACGAGCCGTTTTAGGTAGGTGTGGCTGACTCTTAACTTTTATAAAGAATATCTCTTTGGATTTGAGACTTTAGTCTTTGCAACTTTACAGATCTTCTTTATGCACCAAGAGCTTGTAACACTCCAAAGAGAAAGGAAAAATGAAATTGCATCATATGACCCCTTTAAGATGAAATTAATGTTATATAAAAGTATACACTACCAATCAAAAATTACAGTAAAACAGAAATATTCCAAAATATGTTTTACAGTTTAAAATGTTTCCTATTTTAATATACTTTAAAGTGTAATTTATTCCTGTGATGTCAAAGCTGAATTATTTGTTATCACATGATCCTTCAGAAATCATTATAATATACTGATTTGCTGCTCAAGAAACATGTCTTATCAATGTTGAAAACAGTTGAGCTGTTCAATATTTTTGTAGAAACTGTGATATACTACCATTTAAAAGTAAATATTAAGTCAGATTTGGAATTAATGATATTATTCAGCAAGGAAACATTAAATCAATCAAAACTGACAATAAAGACATTCACAGTGTTACAAAATATGTCTATTTCAAATAAATGCTGTTCGTTGAACTTTCTATTCATTGAAGAATCCTGAAAAAAATGTATCAATGTTTCCACAAAAATATTATGCAGCCAAAACTCTTTTCAACATTTAGAATAACAACCATTTTTAATAATTGAGAATCAAATCAGCATATTAGAATGATTTCTGAAGGATAAGACTTCTTTCAAAAACATAAAATATCTTAATTATTCCAAACTTTTGACTGTTAGTGTAAGCAAATATAATCCTCATCTGAAATGGTTTATATAAACCTAAACCACCTGTAACATTTAGAGAATTTAGCAAATTGTGTTATGGAATCATACAAATACGAATACAAAGAGAAAACATGCTGTATGAATATTTACTTTATTGTAACAGCAAAATAATTTTAATGCGCTCAGCACTGATGCAAATCTATGTTAACAGGACAACTAATTATTTAATACAGCTAAAAGTGGTCTAAAATGTTGTTTATATTATTGAATATGCAAATTTCCCCACTAATTACCCAATTTACACTTCAAATGACAGCTTATGTTGCACGTTTGCATATGTACCAGGTCAGTTTGAGAAAACGGAGCTCTGTTGTGTATTTACAAGCAAAAATAATTTTAATAAAAATAAGATTTTATTCATATTGCTATACACGCATGCATAAGCGCATTTCAAAGAGCAAAGGAGGCCATCAGCGACATTCACACTTGGTCGCTACCACGTTGGTTTTGAAAAAGATGTTGGTGCCCTCGCTCTCCAGCTCAATCACACACAGGTCGTCAAAGTCGACTGGTACGCAGCAGAGAGAGCGATTGACGGGTTGGCCGCTCTGAATGTGGCTGTTCAGGAGGATGGCATGATTGTTGGCGTTGGTCAGGGGGAATCCACACACTCCCTCACAGTTGTTGATGTTGGCTGTAGAGGGCTCAAGAAGAAACTTCCTCAAGGACACGGTCAAGCTCTGAAGCCGACACTGACTGGGCACTGATGAGCCATCTTCATCTGCTCTGGCTGCTCTCTGAGCTCTTTCCACCTCCCAGGTAAGGAGTACCACCTGCAGGGCCTTCAGCAGCAAAATGGACCGGTACTGGGCCTCTTTGCGGTTCTTATCCACTATAAATGAATCATGGCTTAAATGAATTATAGTATTTTAGATGTAATTCAATGGTAACATAGGGCAGGGTTTTGTTTTGAATATTGGTGCTTAAAAAAAAATCATAATTATTCCAAACTTTTGACAGGTAGTGTATATGAAAAAATATTTAATGCTCACCTGCTTCATCATCCTCTCCATCTGGAGAAAGGGCACTTAGTTCACTCAGTTTCTGAAGCCTGTCAATCACCTTTTGCCCCACCTCCTGCTGTTTCACCTGAGCCATGGCTTCATCCAGTCTCATTCTGAGCACAGACAGCAGAGGAGAATCTAGTGTCACCTCCACTCGGTGAGTCTGCAGGCCTTGCTGCCTCTCAGGGAAAACAAATACAGTCGGCGTGGAGGAATTCACCAGTCCTGATAGCAGGGACACTGTGGATGACACTCCAAGGCTGAGAGGTGGAAGGGAATGCAGCGCATCCAAAGAGACAGCGTTTGCACCTCTCTGAGGTGCCGGCCCCTCTTTCTGAGGAAGGATATCACTCAAGAACTTCTGCAGCTCACAGAGGAAAAGATAAGTTCTGGATGGGGGTTTCTCATCGAGTGGATTTCTGAGAAAAAAAAAAAAAAAAAAAGAAACATTGGCAATGTCCTGAATGGAATATTAGCTGACTGAAATACCATACTACGTACAAAGCATATTAAACAGTGAGGTCATGTGACAGGAAGTGGTGTCCAATTAAATGACTAATTCACATTTTTAAATTTTGTGAAAATATTCTTTAATATATGTCAGATAAACACGGATGAGAAAAGTTAAATGTAACGGCTGATATTCCAATTCAATTGTCAGAAAATGCATTGTGGGACATAGAACTACATGCAGTTTTATATGTACTGTATACTGCTGAAAGAGGTGTATTGTAGTATGCTATTCCATTTTAATTTTAACAGTAAGAAGGCACAGATTTAAATGGGTCATGGCTTAACAGCTGGGTCATTATTTAATAACATAACGCAGGATTAAATTGAGCAGTTTAAACCTTTAGCAAGGGAATCATTTACCTGTGATATTTTAAGTGTGGTGTTCTTTGCTCATCACGGTCAGAAAGGAAAACCAAGATCGGCCTCATTGACATATTGCAGCCATCTACCTTTCTCATCAACACTTCCTGAAGCTCAGACACACTGGGTTTCGGCTCTTAAGATGTAACAGAAAGAGTTCAAATTTGCAGTGTGAATGGATTCTTTAGAGAAGTCTGTTTTTGACGGGAAAAAACTCTCACTGTTTTCATCCTTCCATGTCTCAATTGTTACACTCAGCTTAAGGTGAACGTGGGCATGGCTTTGTCCTCCTGTAAGGATCAGGAAACGTGTGGCCTCAGAAATGCAAACTGTCTGAAAGGCAAATAAACAGAAAAAAACATACCACGGAAACTTAAAAGGTGCATAAAAATCTAACTGGAGCCATGCTGTATTGGTTGGCAGCGAAGGAATGATGTCAGTATACATTATAAACCTCATTATCATGAATATTAATTAGTTAAGATAAATATTAATTAGATAATGCTTAGCCAAATGAGGAAGAAAGACAACGCAACATAGGTGGTTGCTACACCCCTGCTTTGATATGCCAGCAATATGACATTTCACAGTCCCGTTGCCCTCTTTTCACCATTTCATGTTCTCCCTCTACCACCATAGTCAATAAAGTGTCAAAAATATACAGTCATTATCATGAGGTTAACCTGTGTATTTGGATGGATGGAATGACTCTTGAATTTCATTCTCAAACCATCTCCTTTAATGGAATCGACACTGAACAGGAGCGTCACAGAGGCTGGGCTGGTCAGTTGAGCATGCCTTGGGAATGTGAGGGTTAAAGTCATCTCTCCTTCCTTCTCAGCATCCCAAATATCTACTAAAAATAACCACAACTCAATGTTGTCGACTAGTCGACAAAGATAAACATCCATCTAAAACCAGAGTTTAGCTGGAAATTCAATTACGAAGCCAAAAAAAGAAAAAAGAATTTACCTTTTGTGGCATGTACACCCTTGAGACCACTTCGTTTTTGGTCCAAATTCTGTACTAGATGTGAAAGCTGCAAACCTGGAGTTCCGAACAAACATATTCCGAACCACTGGAACTCCATCCTCCCTAGTTCACTCTCCCGGTTCAGGGCTGGCAGGAAGTCATCCATGGCACGACTGTGAGCTAGTTGCTCTTCATCACATGCCACGTCTGTGGCATGTGTTGACTGTGCAGATGGGCCAATTGGCTGTTCACTGGCACTGCGGGGTACGCGTGCCATATCCTGCTCATCTCCATTCCATCCTATTGGTCAGTTAGACAACCATTCAAGGGCAGAACATGTGTCACCTAAAGCAATGGTTCTCAATTACAGTCCTGAGAACTACTGCTTCAGGTCAGTGGTTCTCAATCCCAGTCCTGGGGACCCCCTGCTCTGCACATTTTGCATGTCTCCCTTATTTAACACACCTGAATCAGATCTTCAGCTCGTTATAGGAGAGAGATTCTTGAACAGAACTGAGTGTGTCAAATAAGAAACATACAAAATGTGCAAAGCAGGGGGTCCCCAGGACTGGGATTGAGAACCACTGACCTGACGCAGTAGCTCTCAGGCTGGGGACCCCTTTATCACTGCACATTTTGGATGTCTTCCTCATTGGTCCAAGCTAATTCAATGCCTTGTCCAAATACCCACACTTGCGGTCTTGGCCACTTGAGAGCGCGTGCGCGCGACAGGAAGTAAGTGCGCAAGACTGTCCCAGGTCTTAAAAACGCCAGAGCGCAGTGCCCTTAATGCACACTAAATCCACACTATCCACACCACACCACTCGAATACCGCTCCGGAGCACTATTCGAGGCTTAGTGTATCCCATCATGCATCATGTTCTGGAAATAAATCATGAGACTTTTTGCCGAGATCTCGCGAGAGGTCACGAAAACCTTTCCAATGTATGTTAAATATTAATATAATAATTAAATATTACATATAATTTGCTAGTAAAACAAAATGCTACACGTTTTATTGGTGCAAAGGTAAGTATATTTATTTTGTACATCATTTGCAACTGCTTTTTATCACTTAGAAGCACCAGAATTTAAATTGTGTCATCTCTGTTATAGGGACTACTACTGAACAGACATTTAGAAGTTTATTTTAAAATGCAAAGTATTGAAAATAAAAATTAAAACTCTGTAAACACTTGCGTTTTTACAA